CTGGGCAGAGTCAAAGGAGGGATCTCCACAGGCCGGAGCCGACCAATGATGAGCCTCCCACATCTCCTTGCTTCAGCAAATGACTTAGGATCACAGCTGGAAGAACACTAGAGATGGTAATTCCCAGTCTTCGTTCTTACCATGGGGAAGCTGACACCAAGAGCGCACACCAGCATCCCAAGCACAGACTTGATACTTGAGCACTTTCCTCACTTAAGTGTATCATTCTAGAAGACTGTCCTTCCTTTTCCTGCAAACAGCATGTCACTCTCTCTCCAGGCTTCTGCCACGTCCTGGGCACAGGAGGGGTGGGCAGCTTTTTCATGGCAAGGCTGTCACCCCAAAGATTCAGGAGTTGTCTCCTGACAAGGAATGCCACCCTGAACTAAGGGTCCTTGAGGCTGGAGGCAAAGCTTGAGCCAGGTCTCTGTTGGGGCAGGGAGGTCACTGGTTGAGTCTGCTCTGACCTCTTACTCTCCTCTTCTTCCCCAGGCTGCTGCTCCTGTTGCTCTGTGGGCTGTGCCAACTGTGCCCAGGGCTGGGTATGCAAACGGGTATCAAAGAGGTACAGCTGCTGTGCCTGATATCAGATGTAAATAACACAACCCTTACAAACCTAGAGGTTTTTTTAAATACAAGCATAACCCATTTACTGTGTCTGTTTTCTCAAGTGAAACATGGGAATGACAATAAACATTGTTGGCCTTATTCTGCCTCAATGGTTTTTTTGAGGGGTGTCCTGACATAAGAGACCCCAGACCCAGCAGAGCTGGGATCCTCCTATATACTGAGTGCCCTAAAGCAGGTTGGGTTACCTGTCTCTGGTCAGTTTCCTGGCTAAAAATGTAAGAGCATCATGCCAGATGATTTGAGGGCACAGGAATCAGTCATGGACCTAAGCTTTGAATGAGTATGAAAAATAAAAATGCAAAGTTCATTTTTCATATTCAACAAGGAAATCTCAAAAGGACATTGAGAACAAAATAACAGAAAAAAGAACTACTAAGGCTACACGTCTGTTGTAAGGTGTAGTGATACTCAGTAGGAAGGAGGAAGGCCCTGGGTGTCTTGTAATTCATGGCAACTGTTAGTTATCTGGCTACTTGGTGAGGCAATTGCTGTTTGATGTTCAAAGAGGAAGAGGAGTCACGTGGCCCAAGAGTAAGCATCATGCTGCCTTAAAGTGCTTTGTGAATAAGGGATTTCAGAATGTAGCCTGGCCGGGTACAGTGGCTCACACCACCTCGGTGGCTCACGTCATGCTCTGCTCAAGCCAAGGAAGGAGGATTGCCTGAGGTCAGAAGTTTGAGATCAGCCTGGGTAACTTAGTGAGAACCCCTCTCTATGTAAAACAAAACATTAAAATAAAACAAGAAGAGAAGGCAGCCTGGCCAAGTGCGGGTGGTTTGGTGTCACACAAGTGGGTTCACAGCCCACTTCACCCCTTACTGGCTGTGTGACCTGGGCAAGGTGCTTAACCTCTCTGAGGCTGCATTTACTCATTTGCAGAAAGAAGATTCTATCTCTACTTTGGGATGAAATGTAATAGTGGCCTAGCATCTGGCTAGGACTCAGTGAAGAGTGCTGTTATAATCATTTGTCCACATGGACTTTGCAGACAGAGAATCCTATTAGATCTCATCAAGCTCCTTGGGAAAGGACCACCAGTTCCTTGGAAGCATGACTGTGGAGTGGAAGTTGGGAATGGGTTTGGAGTCTTGCTGATCTGGTCTTAAGGGTATGTGGATGACTTCCTGCACCAACTCTCCAGCATAAGACACTGCACCAGCATTTGGACAGAGAACAAGCCTTTCCCACCCTTCAAGTCATTGATCTTCCCACAAACCAGAGAGACAGTGTGTGCAGAGGCTGGTTATGCAGGGGAACACTGTCCTCTAGAGTAGTTAAGAACCTGCCCAAGGTCACACAACTCACAAGGTCATCCAACTACAGGTTGGATGAACTTATGGTACAGCTGTCCTCAAGCCCTCTCCAGAGCTGGCAGATCATTGTGTAAGTGGATGCTAAGCCCTCCCCATCATAGTTCTCAGCTGGAAGTGCCCTTGGTGAGTTGGCCCAATTGTGCCCTGACTGGAAAGAGGCATACTGATGCCCAGGAAGGTTAAGAGCTATGAAGAGGGATTGTCGCTATTACTCTTCCCTCTGCTGTCCTTGTGCCAGGTTTTCTGTGTCCTTGTGTTTTACATGACATAGGGTGGTGGTTGAGGCAATGACTTTGCATGAGTGCAAATTTCAGCTGTGTCATTTATACCTGGGTAACGCAACCTCTCTGTGGTTCAGGCTCCTACCCTGTTCCGTGCATAATAACAGGGTCTGGCTGATGGACCACATCAGTTAATTCATATAGAGAACTTAATACATTGTTCAATGTGTCTCAGGTAGTCTGTAATAGCTGTGATTTTATTATCTTTCTTCACAGCACAGGAACATTTTAGTGCCTCCTAAATAAATATCCACAGCATAGGAACATTCTAGTGCCTCCAGACAAATAAGCCAGTCCTGATGGGCTTAGCTGTGTGTCCCATGTTGTTCCCATCAATAACATGAGCATACGACATATGGATCCGAGAGGGAACCCTACCCATCCACCAATAGGGATCTACGCTGCATGTATAAAGCCATAAGCAAGATAGTCTGTGTCCGCATAACAGATGTGAAAGGATTCTTGCCATTTCTGCCAACACCTGCCCTGTTATTTTCCTTTAAAGAATCCCATTTCCTTAATGTATTTACAGAAAAAGCAAACTCTCTGACACTACTGAAAATAAGAATCAGTCACCTTGCAGGCATGGAAGGCAGCCACACAGTTATATATATATATCCCTCTGTATCACTTCTGCTTGCTATCTGGATTGACGTTGACATTTGTTTTTGTTTAAAGATTTCAAGCAGTGAAGAGGTGCTGAAGACATAGCAAGGGCAAAGGGAAGTTTCATCACTGACCTCTTTTCCTTGAAAAGCTGAGTGGTGGCCGGGGGCGGTGGCTCAAGCCTGTAATCCCAGCACTTTGGGAGGCCGAGGTGGGCGGATCACCAGGTCAAGAGATCGAGACCATCCTGGCCAACATGGTGAAACCCTGTCTCTACTAAAAATACAAAGGCTTTGCAGACGCCGCCGCCGCCGCCTGGAGCCTTGTCGTAGCAGCCATGGTCAACCCCACCGTGTTCTTCGACATTGCCGTCGACGGCGAGCCCTTGGGCCGCGTCTCCTTCGAGCTGTTTGCAGACAAGGTTCCAAAGACAGCAGAAAACTTCCGTGCTCTGAGCACTGGAGAGAAAGGATTTGGTTATAAGGGTTCCTGCTTTCACAGAATTATTCCAGGGTTTATGTGTCAGGGTGGTGACTTCACACGCCATAATGGCACTGGTGGCAAGTCCATCTACGGGGAGAAATTTGATGATGAGAACTTCATCCTAAAGCATACAGGTCCTGGCATCTTGTCCATGGCAAATGCTGGACCCAACACAAACGGTTCCCAGTTTTTCATCTGCACTGTCAAGACTGAGTGGTTGGATGGCAAGCATGTGGTCTTTGGCAAGGTGAAAGAAGGCATGAATATTGTGGAGGCCATGGAGCGCTTTGGGTCCAGGAATGGCAAGACCAGCAAGAAGATCACCATTGCTGACTGTGGACAACTTTAATAAGTTTGACTTGTGTTTTATCTTAACCACCAGACCATTCCTTCTGTAGCTCAGGAGAGCACCCTCCACCCCATGTGCTCGCAGTATCCTAAAATCTGTGCTCTCGCTGCAGTTCCCTTTGGGTTCCATGTTTTCCTTGTTCTCTTCCATGCCTAGCTGGATTGCAGAGTTAAGTTTATGATTATGAAATAAAGACGAAATAACAATTAAAAAAAAAAATACAAAAATTAGCTGGGTGTGGTGGCGTGCACCTGTAGTCCCAGCTACTTGGGAGGCTGAGGCAGGAGAATTGCTTGAACCCAGGAGGTGTAGGTTGCAGTGAGCCGAGATTGTGCCACTGCACTCCAGCCTGGCGCCTGGCAACAACAAGACTCTGTCTCAAAAACAACAACAACAACAAAAAAAAAAAAACGCTGAGTGGCTTCAAACCTGCAGCACTGCTTTCACTCTCTGTCCTGGGCTAGTTACTTATCTCCTTATGTTGTCCTTGTCTGATTAGTAAGACGCTGTCATAAAGAGTATTTCCCTTGAGGGTTGCTGTGAGGGTTGAAACAGCCAAAGTGACTAAACAGGGCCTGGCTGAGTCTAAAAGCTCTGTAATAGTTAAGAATCCTGGAAGTAATAACTACTTTTCATGATTCTTAATTTCATGCAAGGGTGAGCACATCAGGAAAAAGATCCCTCCCTTGGGAACATTCCAAGTTTTGGGAAGCTCCATCCTTGGGCCTGGTGGGCCAGCAAGGCTGTGGGAAGCCCCAAGAAGTTACAGCAAAGGAGGATGTGGACAAATGTGCCCATCACCTTCCAGGGAGTGGGGAATGGAAGGGAGGGAAGCAGGGCACTATGTCTGCTCTGTTGCTGTGAATATATCAAACGTGGCCAAAGGACCTGGGTGGCAATGCAGGTGAGGTTCAGGTCACTGGTGCAGGGTGCTGGGCAGGGGACACCACGACCACCTGCGTCTGGGTTGCCGGACCGCGCAAGGGCAGGAGTGGACTGCAATTTCTAAGAAATTCGGGTGGGCCGGGATTATAGCAGGGACACCGCCTACTGCCAGGCACGAAGCCCCTTCAAGGCGAGTCACCCCCAGGGTGCACACCAGCCTTGCTAGGGAGAATCCTCCACTTGGCCCATCTGCTGCGCACAGCCAGGCCCTGAACCCAGGGTGCCTCTGACACTGCCGCAGCCAGAGCCAGACCTGGGGCGGGACCTCTGCACCCGGCATCCCTCCCCAACGACAAAGCCAGAGGGGGCTCCTGGGCTCTCTGTTCCACCTCCCACTGGCTTGCCTGCTTCTTCACCTCTGGCATAGCTACTCCAGCCTCACCTGCTCTCCAGATGGACCCCAACTTCTCCCGCGCCACTGGTAAAGTATGCCAGGTTTTGGGGCCTTTAGGATCCCTGATTTTTAATGGGGGATTAAAAAATGCATGAGGCAGGTGCATTTTGAGCTCTACCTAAAGATGATTTTTCTTTTGTACTTCTGATGCTTTCTTTCCTACCAGGAACGTTCATTATTATCACTGAAAACCCTACCATTGTCCCAGTGCCTCCCATTTCCAAGGAGAGAGGAATGAGGCTAAAAACTGCCCCTGCTCAAGGTCGCCCATAGGCAAGAGGTGTGCTGAGCTGGGACCCAGTGCTCTGTCCAGCATTTGAGCTGCCTGGGCTGGTAGGGAGGTGGAAGACATTGCTTCTTCAAGATTCCCCACTTAAGGCTCTGTGTAGTATGAAAAAGAGGGCACCTGCCCATCCGAGCCTGTGGGGAGGAAAGGCGGGGCTGGGCTTCACGTGCCTGGATGGAACTAGGTAACAGGTTTCCCATGCAGTGAGCAGGAGGGGCTGAGGGGCTGCTTCCAACCCTGCACCACACTCACTGCTCACTGCCTTTTTCTCTTCCCTGCAGGTGGCTCCTGCACCTGCACCAGCTCCTGCAAATGCAAAGAGTGCACCTGCACCTCCTACAGGAAGAGTGAGTTCGGGGCCTTCCCTGAGAATCTGGGGGGCTCAGCAGAGTCAGAGGAGGGAACCCAGAGCTTAGTGGGCAGGAGCAGGACAGTGACCAGCTTTCCACATCTCCTTTCCTGGCAACTGATTCAGGATCACAGCTGGAGAAACAAGATGGTTGATTCCCAACTTTCATTCTTAAAATAGGGAGACTGAGGCTGCACGAATGCACCAGCCTGCCAAGCACAGACCGAATACTTCAGGACTTTTCTCACTTAAGCCAGTGGTTCTGGGGAACTGGTTTTCCTTTGTCCCTATTGCCCCAGCCACTGCCTCTCCAGTCTTCTGTCCTCTTCTGGGTAATAGGTTGTGCTGGGCAGCTTTTCACTGGAAGACCCTCACTCCAAAGATCCAGTTGACTCCTGGCAGAGCAATGCCACCCTGGACTAAGGGTCCTCTGGAGCTGGAGGTAGGGCTTGAGCCAGGCCTCTGTTGGGGCAGAGAGGTCTCCAGTCAAGTCTGCTCTGACCTCTGACTCTCCCCTTCTTCCCCAGGCTGCTGCTCCTGCTGCCTTATGGGCTGTGCCAACTGTGCCCAGGGCTGCATCTGCAAAGAGGCATCAGACAAGTGCAGCTGCTGTGCCTCATGTCAGGACAGCCCTGCTCTCAGATGTACAAAGAGTGACCTAAACAAATTTGGAATTTTTTCCATACAACCATGGCCTTACTATATTTGTCTCTCTTTTATAAAATATGTGAATGATAATAAAAGTTGTTGCCTTTATTCTGGCTCTGGTTTTCTTTGTGTGCCTTGGAAATGGGGGGCCCCATACTCAACAGAGCTGGCATGGGTGATTGCATTGTCCAGAGACGGGGTGCTGGGACCATGTCCTATCATCCTGCATGCTGAATGGCTTAAGGAAAATCAGGTTCCCTGTCTCAGGTCACTTTTTCAGCTAAAAGAGATTCCTATAAGATGATAATGTGGTGTGCTTTTTTGTGCCTTTCTATGTTGAGCTACATAATCACTGGCAGATGTGAGAGGAGGGAGGCAGCTCATAAAAGGGCACAGGATCTGTTGCACACCTAAGCTTTGATGAGATCAACTGTTTTAGTATGATAAAATCATAAGAAAAAAATCCATTTTCATATTCAACAAGTAAACAAGTATCTACAAACATGTGAATATATGAAAAACAAAATTACATGAGAAATAAAAGAATTACAAACACTACCCATTTTTTCTGGAGTGTACATTTCACACTGGAGACAGTTATCCGATCAGTCCCTGTGCATGGCTAGCACAACTTGAGCACCCCTGGAGGGGACATTCCCCCAGGACCCATCAGTCTTGACCTGCCCCATGCCACTGATGGGAGTCTCCCTTCACTTCACAACTCCCTCTTGGGACTTGGCTCTGAATCCGTACCTCTACCAAGGTGAAGATGAAATTGGCCTCTCCCTCAGCCCTTGGTTACTTCAGGCCAGCTGAGTGAGTGGGAATGGAGGAGGAAGTGCCCAGCACTGTTCCGGCAAGATGTCTGTAGATAGAAACTGGTTTACAGGTGATGTACTTTGAGTCCACCTGTGCGGGGTGTGATGGCATATTCTGTGGTCTGAAGATGCTTTGCTGTTCATTAAGGAGGAGTGAGAACTGTGACTGGTAATTAGGCCAACAGTGGTCGCCCTGCTTATTTGTTGAGGGAATTGCTATTTGTTTTCTGTATTTTTTTTTCTTTTTCTTTTTTCTTTTTGAATTGCTATTTGATGTTCAGCCACAGGGGAAGATAAGGCCTGTGGTCCAGGAGTCAGGACCATGCTTGCCCTCAGATGCCCTCTGTGATGAGCACATTTCAGAAGACAGCCTGGGCCAAGCACAGGTTTCAGTGTCTCACAGCCCACTGCGCCACTTACTGGCCGTGTGGCCTGCACAAGTCACCTGATCTCTCTGAGTCCCCATTTCCTCATTTGTAGGAAGATTATTTCTCCACATTGGGATAAAATGTGACAGTGGCATGGCACCTGGCTGGGGTTAATTAACAGTCCTGTTATAATCATTCGTCCACATGGACCTTCTGGAGAGAGAATCCTGTTAGCTCCCATCAAGCTCCTTGGGAAAGGCCCATTTGCGAGTCATTTGATGTTAACGCAAACCAGAGTAACAGTGTACAGAAGTTGGCTATGCAGGGGTGCACTGTCCTCTGGAGTAGTTAAGAACCTGCCCAAGTCACACGGCTCAGTAGCATAGGAATGGATTAACTTATGGTACAGAGGTCCTCATGTCCTCTCCAGAGCTGGCTTGATACGATGTCACTGGTTGCTAAGCCTTGCTCCTAACAGTTCACAGCCAGAGGGGCCCTTGGTCAGTAAGGCCAATTGTGCCCCTAGCTTGAGAAAGAATATACCAAAACCCAGAGAGGTCACAGAGCCATGCAGAGGAATCTGAATGCCAGCTCCACACTCTTCCCCCTGTGCCTCTGTGCCAGATTTCAGTGTCCTGGTCTTTCCCCTGACAGGGTGACATAGGTTTTTAATTGAGGACATTATGCTGCAGTCAGCCTGCATGTGTGCAAATCACAGCTGTGCTGCTTCCATCTGGGTAACACAACCTCTCTGTAGCTCCGCCTCCTGCATTGTGAAAGGGGTATAATACACCACGGTCATGCACCACGTAACATTTAGCCACGGATTGTATATAGCATGATAGTCCCTTCAGATTATAATATGTTTTTTGTTTGTTTGTTTTTGAGACCGAGTCTTGCTCTGTTGTCCTGGCTGGAGTGCAATGGTGCGATCTCAGCTTACTGTAACCTCTGCCTCCCTGGTTCAAGTGATTCTCCTGCCTCAGGCTCCTGAGTAGCTAGGATTACAGGTGTGCACCACCACGCCCAGCTTATTTTTGTATTTTTAGTAGAGACGGGGTTTCTCCATGTTGGCCAGGCTGGTCTTGAACTCCTGACCTTGTGATCCACCCGCCTTGGCCTCCCAAAGTGCTGGGATTACAGGCGTGAGCCACTGTGCTCGGCCTATTACATGGTATTTTTACTGTACCTTTCTATGTTTAGCTACACAGATACTTACCATTGTGTTAAAATTGCCTAACAGTATACAGGTTTGAAGCATAAGAACAATAGGCTAACACATGCAGCCTACCTGTGCAGTAGCCAGTATTATCTAGGCGTGGGTACGTTCCATGATGTTTGCACAATGGCAAAATTGCCCAGAATGCATACCTCGCATTAAGCGGCACATGACTGTAATCGGGTTGGATTAGTAAAGATAAATGATTTCATGGATGTAAAGAACTCAGAATGGTGCCTTGTACATGACCAGTGGTCTATAACATTAACCACTATTTTGTTATAATTGTTCATGGCTGCTATGGCCTGAATGCTTGTGTCCATCCAATATTCACATGTTGAAATCTAACTTTCACTGTGTTGCTCTTAAGAGGTAGTGCATCTGGAAAGTGACTATGGTATTCGGGCAAAGCACTCATGAACGGGATTAGCGCCTTAATAAAAGAGGCCTGAGGGAGCTTGTTTAACCCTTTCCACCATCTGAAGACCCATCAAGAAAGAGACATCCACGAGGAACGGGGCTCTCACAAGACTCCAAATGCTGGTGCCTTGACCTTGGACTTCCACGCCTCCAGAACTGAGAGAAATAGATTTCTGTTGTTTTAAGGTATCCAGTCTAAGGTGTCTGGTTATGGCCGCTCAAATGAACTCAGGCAATAGCATACTTGACATTTTTACTCCAGACAAAAAAGCCGGGCCTGGCGTCCCTCCCTGTGTGTCCTCTTTCTTATCAGCCACAGAAGCATTGCTCTGTGGTCCTCAACAAAGTCCTGCACTCTTCCCACAGAATAGAGATTCACACCAGAAATATAAAGCCACAAGCAAGACAGTCCCTGTCCCCAGAACAGAAACAGAAGGGTGTCTGCCAATTCCACTACCACCTGCACCAATATGTGATGCGACATTTTTCTTTTAAGCGATTCTATTTTCTTAGATATATTTACATGAAAAGCAAACTCATTAGCACTGCTGAAAAAAGAATCAGTTTAACTTCCAGACATAGAATGTTGCCATCAAATTCTCCCTATTCATATCCCCTCTGCATCTCTGTTTTGCTTCCAAGACTGACCTTGATGTTTGATTTTGTTTAGAGATTTAAAGCCATAAGAGATGAACTTACCTAGACCAAAGGGAAGCTTCATCACTGCCCTCTCCTCCGTGGGAAGCTGAGAGGATTCAGACCCAGCAGTGCCACTTCCCAGCCCTCTGACCCTGAGCTAGTGGCTTGACCTCCTTATATTGTCATTGTCCAGATTAGGATATGGGTTTATAAATAGAATGTATGTCCCTTTTTGATTGCTGTGAGGGTTCAAAGATGGAAAGTGACCAAACAGGGCCTAACACGGGTTAATGTTATGAGCGTAATAGGAATATGGCAGGAAAATGCTTTCTACTTGAAGACAGAATCTGCATGATTCCTTTTCTGGGAACATCCCACATTTTCCAAACTGCCATTCTGTAGTGGGGTGCCCGGCTAGGCTGTGGGGAGACCCTGGAGAGATTTATGCAAAGTAGGACCAGGACAAATGTGCCCATTCAGCCTCTCAAGAGTGGAGAATGGAAGGGAGGGAGACAGAGCCCTGTGTCTGTCCTGTCGCTGTGCACAGAAGAAATGTGGCTGAAGGACCCAGGTGGGGACAGACTCAGGCGAGCCTGGGAATCCAAAGGTCACAGCCTCCACTGGTCCTTTGCACACAACTCTCTTCCTATGCTCCCACTACTGCTGATTCTGAAAGTTGAACACGAGGCTGGGGTTGCACATGGTATCCAGGGAAGGTAAAGATGACAGTCCTGAACCAGACCAGGTCACTGCTCACAGCCCAGCCAAGGACCACTGGCAGTGCAGACTCAGCAGGGTGGGTACAAGGGCCAGGACGGGGCCTCTACTTTCTTAGACAGACAAATTCCGTTAAATCCCAACAACCTCCTGGAGAAAGGCTCATGGGTTTGGAAGCAGGACTCTGGATTAGATGCTGGGAATGAGACTGCAGCCTGGTGATCCTGCCAGGAGGAATGTGATGTTGGATAAGATGCTGCTGCTTGGCATTTGTACAGACAGCCTTTCTAACCCTTCACATCATTGGATTTCCACACAACCTTGGGAATGAGAGCCACAGGCCTCAGAACTAAGACAGCAAATATGCAGGGCCTGGAGTGCCTGTGTTGTCTTCCAGAGTAGTTAATCAACCTGCCTAAGGCCACGTAGCTCAGAAGCAAAGGGTTGAATGAACCTCTGCTACCCTGGCCTGTCATCCTGGTCACAGCTGGCAGATGGTGATCGGCTCATCACTAGATGCTAAACTCTGCCTATCCTGGTTCAAATCTAGAAGGATGCTTTGGGATAGACTGATTTTGCACTGGGCTTGAGAGACGAGAACTGAAGCCTGGAGAGGTCACAGAGCTGTGCATGGGGACAATGACTGCCAGCTGAACATGCTTCCCACTGCTGCCTCGGGGCCAGATTTTCCGTGCCCTCATCTTCATTGCAACTTGGTGGCATAGGGTGGTGGGTGAGGGCATGATGCTGCCGTCAGCATGCATGAGTGGAAATCCCACCTCTGCCACTTAGCTGTGCTTCACAACCTCTCTGTGGCTCAGTCTCCTCCCCTGTAAAAGGTGCACAATAATGGCATCTGGCTTGTAGGATTAAACAATTTAATACATGTAAGAAACTTGGAATGATGCCTGGCA